TGATTTGTCCACACTCTTGTAAAAAACATTCTTGGTTAATTCCTAGCTTATTTGGTGCCATGCACAGCAGATTCCTGGCATAGCACCTGCTTACTAGTGATCTTGACAATTTGAATCTTGGACAAATAAATTGAAAAAGAGATACAGGAGTTATTGAAAGAGAGAGCCAGTGAAAATCAATGTCAGACAAGTAAATACTTTTGTTTTAAATTTGCATTCCTCACTGGCCATTTGACTAATTACTCATGACTTGAGTAATCCTTTCTATTCCAGACAGGTGGCATGGGGATAAGCACTCTACCTCTGGTTTGGGTAGGTTCTAATCTCAGCTCTGCTGCTTATTAGCCATGTGACTACTTACCTTCTCTGAGCCTCTTGTTTTCTCAAGTGTGGTGTGAAAATAGTGACAGTATCATGTTATGTGGTTGTGATAAGGAGAAATGAGAAAAAAAAATCCCCACTCATGTGAAGTACTTGGTCCAGTGCCTGTCACATAGTAACCACTGTTGCCAATAATGTTAATTTATTATCAGTACTATTGAGGTGGTCCCAAATCTTTATTCTAGGCTTGACCTTCACCCCCACCTTTCTGAGTGCCCGTTATATTTCTCCACCTGGATGTGCTGCCGCTACCTCAAGTTCAGTATGTTCCAAACTGAATGCATCGGATCCTGACCCTTCTCCGGTCTCCCCTTTGCTAGCCTCCTGTTTCCCCTCAGCTCCAAACCTTTGTGACAGCTTTAATTTTTCCTTTTCCCATGCAGCCTTTTGCCAAGTCTTGCAAATTCATCATCCACACATCTCACCAGAACCCTTTCTTTCCCATCCCCTTGGCCCTGTGTTGTATTCAAGTCCTCACTGCCTCTTGTTTGAGTGCCTTAACTGCCTTTTAATTAATTTGCCTCCCTCTAGTCTGTCCATTCTCTGTTAATTTTACGTGTTTTTACTAGATAAATCTTCCAAAGCTGATCTTGAGTCATATCACTCCCCTTCTCAAAAACCTTCAGTGACCATGTGTTATCTTTGGTTTAAAGTCTAAACTCCTTTGACTAATGAGGGTCCAAGGTGCTCCATAAACTAGCTCCAACCTACCTTTCCAACTATATTCCCTTCAACTTACCGTTTATGTACCTTCTTGGTGCTCACAGCTGGATGCTGAGCATCCTAAGAATAGGGAGTTTTTCATCTTTGCATTCCTAGTCCTTGGCACCAGTAGGTATTTATTATAATAAACCATAATTTAAATACAAGTGGAGTAACGAACGTCTGAAATCTGAAATGCTCTAAAATCTGAGACTTTTTGAGCACTGACATGAAGCTCAAAGGAAATGCTCATTGGAACATTTTGGATTTTGGGTTTTCAGATTTGGGATGCTCAACTGGTAAGTATTTAATGCAAATATTCCCAAATCCAAAAAAAATCGGAAATCCAAAACCCCTTCTGGTTTCAAACATTTTGGATAAGGGTTACTCAACCTGTAGTGAGTGAGGGAATGACTATCATTGCTTATGCTGCATTTGCCTGAAATTCCTTGTGCTCTGGCTTTGTATATCTTCATTCCTTCCTCCTGTGCTTCGGGGTTACTTCATGCTTCACCCCTTCCCTGATCGTTCCAGCTTGTAGCACCTATTCCTTCCCCAGGACCCTTTCCTCAGTATTCTTTCTCTGACCCTCTTTCCTGGCACTTGCTACTCTCTGTCTTCCAGAGCTGTGTACGAGCATGTCTTTTCTCTTCCACTAGACTGTATGCTCCTCAACGACAGGACCTGGGTTTAAGTCACCTAGCCCACTTTCTAACATCCATTCATTTAACTTTCATTTAGCAATTATTTATTGAACACCTATTCTGTGCTAGGCATATAGCAGTGAGCAAAACAGACAAAGTTCCATTTTCTTGGAGTTTACATTCTAGTAGTGCTCAAGAATTACCTGTCTCATTCGTTCATCGGCAAACATTGATCTGCTATGAGCCAGTCTTTGTGCTAAGTGCTGGGGATATAAATGTGAAGAAAATGGTCTTTGTCTTCAGGGAGCTCATGGTGCAGTAGAGAGACAGCCTCATGATAAACAATTATGACATAGTATATTATTGTGCAGTATTTCTCAATAGAGATACTGTTGATATGTGGGAAAATTCTTTGTTCTGCAGGCCTGTTCCCTGCATAGCGAGGTTACACCCTCCCATTAATGCCCCCCAAGTCATGTGACAACCAAAAATACCTCTACATTTTTCCACATGCCCCCTACGGGGGTGGTATCTGCTTCTCTTACATCGAGAACCACTGTCAAGGAATGGTTCCTTGGAACCATTTTGTTTCCTTTAAGGTGGTCGAATGAAGGAGGGAATGATGAACTTGGCCTGGGGCATAGGGTTGGGACACAGGAGGGTAGGAGAGTCTTGAAGAGTGAGATCGCTGAGGAAGGCATTAGGCCAAGGCACAGAGGGGAGGCAATCAACAGCCTGCTACACCCCAGGACCCCTCTGCTGTTAGATGTGGCTAGAGAAAAAGGTTCAGGTATGAGGGCAGTGTTTGGTGAACAACTGGAGAGAAATCCTGGGCTCTGTTGTGGAGGGCTTAATATGCCGTGCTAACAGGGGTAGCCCAGATGCTGGAAGAAAGGAGGAACTAGTGAAAGGTTTGAATAGGCCAGAGGCATGAGATTGATGAGACTGTCCCCACAGTTGAGGGGGATGCAGTCTAGGCGGAAGGCAGTAAGGGCCTGAACAGGCAGTAGTGATGAGGCTTGTATCATTTGTTGAGGAGGGAACTGAATATACCCTCAGGCTATAAGTACTTCTGTCACTACTTTATGATATGACTTTCCAGGAAATACAAACTTCTAGGGGAGAAAGAAACACCTTAAAACCTCAGAAACCTGAGCATCGTGAAGACAGGTTGAGTATCTCTTATCTAAAATGCTTGGAACAGGAAGTGTTTCTGATATCAGAATATTTGCATTATATTTGCTGAGTTAGCATTCCTAATCCAAAAATTCAAAATCTGAAATGCTGCTATGAGCATTTCCTTTGAGCGTCATGTCGGCAGTGAAAAAGTTTCGGATTTTGGCGTATTTCAGATTTTTGGATTAGAGATATTCAACCAGTATTTAACTTAATCCATACAATAATTTCTATTCTTACTCCTTCCTGGGAGCTCCTGTGCTCGGCTAAGGAGGCATAAACATGTGCTGGTAGTTGGCACCCTATAGTTCCCTGAAAAAATAGTGTCTATGAACACGGTAGGAGGTCCATTTGGGTAGGTGTGCCATTGGGAGGACAGATAGGCCCTGAAGGAAGCCCAGGTTCTACAGAATGTGGGCAAGTTAAATGCTGATAATGCCCTTTGTGACCCTTCCCCTTGGGTCCCAGTCATGCATAGCTCCAAAGCCCGTCCTAGCACTTCTCGCACGGCACACTGTTTGGGTTTTGTGGTGCATTACTCCTCTGCCAGACCGTAGGCTCCTTGGTTATCCTGCCATTCCCAGAACCTAGTGCCGTGCCTGGCTCAGGGTAGGCCCTCAGCAGAGGGTGGTTAATGAGCGCACCTCTCCCCTTTTTCCAATTTCATACTTTTTCAAAGCATGCATGCTGTTCGTTAGAATTGTAGTAGGTCTTCCCACTGAATGCATTTCTCATATCTGCATTTTCTTTCCTTTGTTCTTTAGTTGCATGGTGATGAATTTTGTCCTGTTTTGGATGCAACGTTTGTAATGGTGGCTCGTGATTCTGAAAATAAAGGGTAATTGCTGTTTTTTCATAATTATTTTGAAGAATGTCAAAGATACATAAAACTGGGGAGAAGATTATAATGTCTTATTATACCCATCACCTGGGCTTAAGATTTTTAATTGTAACATTTTTGCCATATTTTGGTTTCATCTGTTTTT